TGTGATGCCTTGAGGATAGTTCTCAATGTTTTGCTTATACGTCTTGTCCTTCTTGTAAAATTCATGGCAAATCCTATACCTGTTATCCTTCCATTTCTTTCCCATATTTTGCATACAATAGTTGTAATGGTATTCACTCTCCAGTACAAATTTTGGCTGAATAAAAAAAAAATTATACAACGACATTATTTCTGGAAAAAAAATAATCATTGTATATCTTAGGAAATTTAATGATCATTTATACCTTAATAGTGCTCTTCCAAGTATTTTCCTTATACACCGGAGGTACATTAGGCCACCTATCAAAACATATGGGGAATATTTTGGGATCACATGCAATATGTCCCAAAAAACCATGGAGAAGTCCACACGAATCTCCAACAGGTTGTTTGTCTTCATTCCTTCCAACACAACTCTCTTGTGACGTGGAAGTACCAAAACATCCCTTACCCGCAATCGTTCCTCATCAATTAAACCATTATCAGCTACGACATCAACAACCCAATATTTGTTGCATGTTCTCTTCGGAGGGTTTGTTGGTGGTCTTTCATTGGATGGCTGAGATGGACCACAACCTTGTGGAGATTGGCTTGAAATTTGTTCTTGTTGGACTGCCAATTCATGTGGCTGAGTATCTATTCCTTGACTAGTACCGATTGGGTTTGAATTGTATCCATGGTTAATACTTGGTTGCCCAATATGATCTTCAAGTGCATGAGCAGTAGAGCTTGTGGATTGGCTCCTAGCAATGAATCTTTTGGTGCGTGCCATTATCCTGTAAATACAAATTGTGTGCAATCACAGAATACAATTTGTGTGCAATTATAAGTCTTAAGCAATAATAATATATCAAATACAACAGAACTTACACATTAATAATTAACTTCACAATACCAAATAAAAAAAACATAATACAATAATGTTTTCACCTATGCCATGGACATACAAAAATAATATGTTCACCCATATTATGGACATACAAAAAATGAAATACAAAACAGAATACACCATACATAAATAATGCAATACAATAATTGAAATTATGGACATAAACATATTTGGAGATTAGGTCATATATCCATTTCTTCTTCCTCATTTTGATTAGGAATCAAATTTGGAACATCATCATCTATGGCAGGTCTAGATAACTGTAGAGGTATTGTGTCATCAACTAAAATTTGGTCCAAGTTTTGTGGTGGAAATTGGTCGGTGCATGTCATAATATGTTCACCCATATCATATAAGTCTCTAGGCTTCACATTAACAGGTATACTCCAACCAGTTTCTTTCTCATCATCAACATAAAAAACCATTTGAGCTTCAGAAGCTTTAATATATGGCTCATCATCTTCTTTCTCACCAGTATGTATCAATTTAGAAAAGTTCACTTGAGTAAAACCCAATTTATCCTTTTTTAACCCTCTTTGAGTAGTGGTATCAGCCCATTGACATTTAAACAAAGCCACTGTGAATAATCCATTGTAATTAATCTCAATGATGTCAATCAATTTGCCATAGTAAGGAACCCCTCCACATATCATTTGGCCATCTTTACTACTTGAATAACTTCTAGTGTCAAACGTTCCATAAACTCCACTATTTTGGGTTTTTAGGTTCTTCTCGCGTTCCAAGGTACGATACTTGGTGCCATTAACATTATATGCATTGAACCTTCTAGCTTGATAAAATGGACCTTTCGCAAAGGAAAACATAATGGCTTTCTCTGATTCCCCAATATTATCCATATCAATGACAACCTACAATGGTTAACTAACTAGTGTTAGTCAACTACATTTAAACTTTTCAAAAAATATGCCTAACACTTCATCATCTGCACTATGTGATAAATTACTCACGCGTTTAGAGAACCATTCGACAAACTCTCTATGAACCCTCCTATCTATCTCAGCCTGACTTCGATTACTCCTCCTTAGTTGTCTCTTCAAGTCGGTCCTGAATTCCCTAATCAAAATAAAGACATTCAAAAAACAATATAGTCACTTACGCACTAAAAAAAAATTGGCAGTACTTACTGGACATAGCTTTCAACAAGTGGGCAGTTTGTTAGCACGTGTCTATGAGCCTGTAACCATTCCATGGATGTAAGATTAAAATAAGTCGATGCACCAATTGGCTTTCCTACATTGGGAAACAATTCATCTACGCGTGATTTTGGGAAGATATCATCAGGAACATCATCAACACGTCTGGGTCGATTCCACATAGTCTCAATATTATCGAGGTACCTTGAACAAAATGTTAAGATTTCTTGTATTAGGTAACCTTGGGCTATAGACCCTTCTGGTTGTGCTCTATTACGAACATATGATTTCAATTGTCCCAAGTACCTCTCAATAGGATACATCCAACGGTAGTGAACCGGACCTCCAAGCTTAGCTTCCTCAACAAGATGAACAACCAAATGAACCATGACAGTGAAAAAAGACGGGGGAAATAACATTTCCATGTGGCATAGAGTTAGCACAACTTGACGCTGTAAATTATCCAAATTTGAAACAGTCAATACCTTATCGCATAGCTGCTTGAAGAATGAGCACAACTCAATTAAAATACTTGATACATTATCAGGCAATGAGATTCGTGTGGCCAACGGTAGTAGTTGCTCCATCAATATATGACAATCGTGACTTTTCAACATCCCACTCAGCCTCATAGAATCAACATCTATGCACCTAGAAATGTTGCTAGCATAACCATCCGGTACAGTGATATTCCTTAAGGTCTTTAGGAAAGCCTTCTTGCCTTGATTAGTCATTGTGTACACTGCTAAAGGATACTTTCCATTTTCAAATGGCCAAAGGTCATGCTTACAACCCATTCTTTGCAAGTCTTTTCTAGCATTCATGTGATCTTTTGATTTATTTGCATCATTAAGCAATGTGAATATGATGTTGTCACATACATTCTTCTCAATGTGCATCAGGTCAAGATTGTGACGCAATAAATTATGCCTCCAGTATGGAAGCTCAAAAAATATGCTTTTCTTCTTCCACTGCATAGTGTTCCCATGTGCACCACGATCACTAACACGTGCTATTTTCCCTCTACCATTTACTTCAGGTGTTCGACCAAATGTAACATGCAAATTTTGAACTTGTTCAAGAATCTCACAACCAGACAACAATGTTGGAGGATTACGCATATCTTGCTTTCCATTAAATCGCACCTTGTTCAATCTAAATCTGTGTCTTTGATGAAGAAAGCGTCGATGACCCATAAAACACCATTTTTTACTATGATGAAGACGACAAGTTTCAAAATCAAAGTTACATGATGGACAAGCTAACCCAGTGTAAGTGTTCCACCCGGACAGATTACCTAATCCGGGAAAATCACTAATGGTCCATAATAAAGCTGCATGTAATTTGAACATCTCTCTTGCCGAAGCATCATAAGTATCTACACCGTCAAGCCATAATTCTTGCAGCTCTTTCATCAAGGGTTGTAAGTACACATCAATATCATTTCCTGGTGCTCGTTTACCAGGGATTATAGTTGAAATAATAAATGATGTTGACTTCATACACAACCATGGAGGTGTATTGTACGGAATTAAAACAACAGGCCAAATGCTGTAACTAGAACTCATATTACCAAATGGATTAAAGCCATCAGTAGCCAAACCAAGCCGAACATTACGTGCGTCTGATGCAAATGATGTGTGCAGTGAATCAAATTTCTTCCAAGCTTCAGAATCTCTAGGATGCCTCATCTTTCCATCATGATCACCATCCATAGCATGCCATTTCATGTCTTCTGCAGTCTTTGACGACAAAAACAACCTTTGTAGGCGCGGTTTTAGTGGAAAGTAATGAACTACTTTCGCAGGCACATTACGCTTACTATTTCCATCACTAACTTCACCTCCTTTAGTGCGTGGTTTCCATCTAGATGTGTAACATACCTTGCAAATTTGTTTATTTTCATCCTCCACTCCCCAATATAGCATACAATTATTTCGACAAGCATGTATTTTCTGATAATCCAAACCTAACTTGGTAATTGTCTTCTTTGCCTCATAAAACGAAGTTGGAATTTTTGCTTGTTCAAAGGCATCGTGTAGTAGTTCCAATATCAGAGTCATTGCCTTGTCACTCATCCCACACAAACATTTGATATGATACAACTTCACAATAAAGGATAACTTTGAATACTTCTTACACCCTTCGTACAATGGTTGCTCTCCATCTTTTGCCAATTCATAAAATTCTTTCGCTTCAAACCCTTCTTCATGTGGATTATGGGTTGGATTTCCATCTTCTCCAACATTTAAAGCCTCATGGTTCCCATCCACCCCAAAAGCATCATTTAACATGGTTCGAATTGGATCTTCATGAACAGTGCGATCTTGGGCAGCATGTTGTACATTTGGATCAACATTACTGCTTTCTGCAATCTCTGTCTCGCCGTGGAAATACCAAAAATTGTATCCTTCAGGGAATTTTGTGCAAAGTAAATGGTCAAAAACCACGTCCTTTTCGTGCCACTTTCTAAAACCACAAGGAGAGCAAGGGCATAATATCAAACCCTCAACAGAACTATGAGAAAGAGCAAAATCAATGAATACCCTAACTCCTTGTTCATATTCAATCGTATTTCGTGGTTTCATAATCCATGTCTTATCCATTACCTCTGAAAAATGATGATAGCTTCGTTAGAATATGCTCAATTTCAGCAAATTCGTACTCATTTTAATTTTACCACTACTGCAATATTCTTAAGTTCATGAATACAAATATAATTTCTGATCTTAGGGTTAAACTTACTCTTTGGATATGTGTTTAGGTCTAGTCTTAGGTTAGGGTAAGTGTTTTACTGCCCAAGAAGTAATCTACGGCAGTAAAGAGTAATCTAATCTAATGCCACAATAAAAATCTTTAATATAATCTAATGCGACAGTGTTTTACTGCCCAAGAAGTAACTTTTTATTACTTCTATAATATTTTTTGCCAACATGAAAGTAATTTAACATGACTAAACAAACAACTTTGCATTCATTTCAATAAAATAAAACCATTATACAGAATAAATATCAAAATGCTACAATTAATATGGCATTGGAATAAATCCATTATAGTTACAGTACCTTTTCAAAGGTTCTTCGGGATCAGAAGGTTGTTTGTCACTTGAAAGATGATGGCTGTGCGTTATGCAGTTTTCGACCTTGTAATTAAAAAAAAAATTAAAGTCAACAGCAACATAGTTTAACATCATAGGTGGTTCAATCCACTACAGCTATTTAAAAAGCACAATAGATACATCATCGTAATCATAGCATATTAAGAAAGTATTACGGTCCAATGCATACATACAAGTACTTCAAAAGAGTAATGAATTCTTCTATTTTTTCAGGGAAAGCAGAGTCACACCTTTTTTATGCAAAAATTAAAAAATAAGTGTAGAAAAATATGTAGATTACAACACACGCATTAGACATAAGAATGGATTAGATATGACAAAACAGTTTTCTTACGTTCTGCACATAAAATAAATACCAATTTCACATTTAGTCATTTGCACATGGCACTCATCTGAATCAGTGATGAAAAAGCAAACATCACTACTAAAATTTCCATCGGACCATGCTTGAAGACAAAGACTCAGATTTCCAACTAAGGACACAAAACTTTGGTCCTTTAAATTTAGAGCTATCACATATGCCACAGACATCACATAAGATTACAAATGCATAATGCTATTTGTATTCATGTTTACTAAAGTACATTATAACAATAGGGATAAATTTTGGGACATTAACCGTGTGCTCCACAACACAAGAAAGTGATAAATTTTTAATTAAACAAGAAGAATTTAAGTAGACAAGTAGTGAAATATCACTACAGATAAGTAAGAGAACCAGACCAAATAAATCAAGAGAGCACTAAGAAATAACTATAAAACCCATGCATAAAAAATAATAAATAAGCTCACCTCCATAAATAATGCTTCACCACTTAAAATTACAGACCTGTTCTAAGGTTCATAATTCTTTTCAAACTCTCTTCCATCATAAAACTCCATCAAAATATTTAATAGTTCAGGGTTTTAAAATTTTCCAAACTGCAACCAAATCCCAACTTATGCTATATAGGGAACACAGAACAAAGCACCAGTTTTCTCACAGATACATTGGGAACTGCTATTAGAAAACATGGTGAACCAACTATTGCATCTAATATTCCCTTAAATTAGCTTTGACGGCAAACAAACATAGTAATTCTCATTGTAACAAAAGGGCTCTTTGAGAAAAGCTCAGGGGTATCAAGCTCAAAGCCAAATTGAGGAAACAAACGACAATTGACAAAAAAATAACAAAAAAAAGTATTCAAGAAAAAAATTAAAAAATAAACTACATAAAAGCGGCTACACATCCAGGGGAAGGCTTCGCACTATCCATATCTCATTATCTTGGCATAGATTCTACTAAGAAATCAGAAAACAAATGTTCTATTCTACAAAAAAGTTCCATATTCCTATAACTCATAATTAAGAATCCATAGAACAGTAAACAAAATCATAGACGTACATGGCAGCAAAATATTTTTTCGGGTACTTACGAAAAGAAATCGGAATGCTGTACAGATTAAAGAAATTAATCATAAGAGAAGCTAAAGCTGGGATTTAAATATTACATTTCCCAGTTGTCACACCAAATTATTCCAGGGAAGCACAAACTTGGTAATAACACATGAAGTCAATAAGACATGCGCAATAACAAAAACCAATCTGTAGTGGAAAGTTTAAAAACTAAAATAATGCAAAAAAAAAAGGAACACACCGAAACCCCAAAATTCATATCAACCAAGTTCTTAAAGAAAGGAGAACAAAGAAGCAATTACCAATCGTTTGAAATTGGCATACAATTTTAAAGGAAAAAAAAAGGCACACACCGAAACCCCAAAATACATAACGATTTGAAAAATTGTCATGCATTGTGATGGAAAAATAGAAAGAAATAAATCAGTTATTTAAAAAATAAAAACCCACAGAGTTGATGAAGGTTGATACAGTAGAGTTTGCATTTTGCAATGAACCGGAGTAATCGATTGATGACTCACCAAGTTTTAGTTGTAGGGCAACACATTCTTCACCGTTCACTGTCACTACCTCAAGGTGATTTCAACGTTGAATGAAGGCACCACCATGGCAACGACTGAAAGCCTATATGTTGAAAGTGAAAATCGTTAAAAGAAGAAGAAGAGTTTTGAGACGCAGTGAAGAGTAAATGATTATAAAAACCTAACCTTTAAACCTAAACTTGATACTAAAAATAGTGAAGAGTTGAACAATGGAAGAGAAAATAGTGAACAGTTGAATGGCGGAAGAGAAAGAAAAAAGTTAAAAATCGTTGAGCGATGGAAGAGAAAGAAAAAGAGTGAAAGTGTGTGTAGCGGGAAAGGGTGTGTGGAAACTGAAAGGTGAAAAGGTATGGAGGTGAAAGGGGAAAGTGAAAGAATGAAAAGGGGGGAAGAGGTAACTTTCACAAAAAATTGACGCGTGGGAATTACAATTCATCTAGATGGAACCGCAAAATTTACAAATTCTGTTACTATTTAACAAATAATTGGTATGAAGTAACAATTATAATCCATTAGTCACAATGGTTACAGAGTCTGCATTTACTTTAGGAGTACGGGTTCGAACCATGATCTCATATATTTTTATCATTTAAACATGAACCGCCTCCAAATTCAGATAAACCGCCTCCTATAAATAAATCTCAGGCGGTCATAGGATAACCGCCCATAATGAACGTAATTTTGTGACCTCCCTAAAAAAGGTCGCCAGAACCGCCTTGGATTGTATATCAGAGGCAGTTTCATATAAACCGCCTCAGAAGTCCCGCCTCTAAATGCCTATTTTCTTGTAGTGATACTCAAGCTATTCACTATATCTAAAATTTCTTCAGGCTTCTGGAAAAAAAAATGATGAATGGGTCCATACAAAATTGGGGACCAGTTAACTGGTTTGACATCAATATGCAAAGCCACACCTAAATTATCAACAATTTAGGCTTGGTAAATCCATAATTATCAACAATTTAGCCACTCCTATAAACCCTTAATCTAATAACATAAAACACATAACAGAGTTTTCATGCAAAAATACACCAGTATATGAATTAAAAAAAATAAAAATAAAAAGGACACCAATTCCAGGCTAGACAAAGTCCTACATAGCTTTATTGTTGCCTTCACTGAAATGAGCACTAGTTCTAACATAACTAGGAAAAGTTGTGGCATTAGTTCCATATGAGTGTTAGAGAAGAGTAAAATGTGAAACAAGCTATGGTTTCCCATTCATACTCACATATTTCTCTCAATCTCCATGAATTTTGACCACTCAAATCAAATCTATAAACCACTTTCATGGTGGCAAATATCAAACAATCACCATTCATGATTGTAAACCCTTGAACTCTTAGATCTTCCTCTTTCAACCCCATAGCTTTCACCCTTATTTCAAATTCTTTCTCCATAAATTTGACTTGTAGTTCACCAAAACCCATATGGTAAACACAAACTTCATGTATCTCACCAAACAAATAGAATGATCCAGACTTCTCACCTTCCCCCATTCAAAAATACCCATGGCACAACTTTCATCCTCAAAACTTTTTCTCGCATCATTGGGGAGCCCAAGCATTGTTGATTGATCACTCTCAAAATTGTATGCCATTATATATGGCCTAAAATAACGACTTCCACTATCAATAAAATCAAAACTATTTGATATAAAGTGGAGATAGTTATGAATATAAACAGGCATCTCAAGTCTCATATTCCGATTACAATATAGAAACTCCACTCCATTACTTTCCATACACCTTCCTATGGAAAATACACTTTTGGACAAACCATAAGTAATGGTGAAGAACTACCCGAGTATGATAAACACATACCACCTTGGTTAGAAACACACGGACAACATATCGTCTGTATTTTAGACAGTTGGGGATAATTCCCACTATGACAATTTGAACCTGATTAATAGTCTATCTAATTTCATACATGAAATCCAAGTTATCCAATAACTACAATCTAGAATCCATCCATGAATTTTATCTCAAGGGCTCTATGCCCATGATTTCATCAACTAATAATTCATTCATACAATTCCATACGATTACCATAATCCATCATACAATTCATTCATTGCATATACATCATCAATATACATGCAAGCATCCTAGGATTTACAAATCCAACATATTAACAACAAAATTACATAATGCGTATCAAAATAAATGAAGGCAATACATGCCATATATACAAGCCTTAATCGGATCTAGACAAGTTCTCAACAAAATAATAAGGCTTTACAAAATATACATCTATCCATCACCTAATCCAAAACATCGGTATATAGACAACAATCCAGTCTCCTCCATCACGAGAGTATCTAACTCTAAACATGCCTCTTGCCCTGTGAGGGTCCATCACCGGTTGCTGAACTATCTGAAATATGTCCCAAAAGGGGTGAGATACACATCTTAGTAAACCCTGGGTTCTTGCAGTAATACTTCACCCAAGAGTTCACTTCCTGCATAAAAGGTCAGATAACATAACATAGAAACATCATATAGCTCATAACATACATGATGCTTCCAAGAGCTTAGGTCCTCAAGGATAGTCCATACATACCCTTCCAAGAGCTTAGGTCCTCAAGGAAGGTTCTTCCATAAATACCATTCCAAAGGCTTAGGTCCCCAAGGATAGTACATTTTCAAGAGTTTAAATTTCCAAGGAAGGTTCATACAAGATAGTCCAAGGGCTTAGGTCCCCGAGGATCATACATTTCTAATGGCTTAGGTCCCCAAGGAAGGTACACACATGTATATGTTCATTGGACAAGAACCATAATTCAATCAATCATAACATAGACATATATATATATATATGAATGCAACTATACTAAGTATCTAACATTCATTCAATCATACATACATACAACCATATTGGTCTTTATTCATGTGATGAACCCTAGATTTAAATCATTGAAAATATCCATGAAAACTTGAGTTTCTTACCTCAAAATCACCTAGGAAGACTAAAAGAATGATTATCCAAGCTTGAAAGAAAGCAAGGTTTCCTCCACTTTTGAATTTTCAAAAATGGAAAAATGAGAGGGGGAGGATTTCTTCACCCACAATGCTTCCCAAGTGCTGAAGATGGTTGGGTTTAATTAGTTAGAGGCAAAGGAACAACTTTTGTCTAATAGAGTTTTTGCATTGGAGGATTGGTTCATGATAAGTTTCAAGCTATGTCATCAACGGTAGAGGGAGGGGCTGTTTGGGTGAGGGCTGTTGGAAAGGAGACCGAAAATTTTAGGAAAAAATAAGCCTAAGTGTCATGACTTAAGTGGGGTTTGACTTGGTCAACTCACGTAATTAGAAAGCTACCATTTTACCCCCAATGAAACCCCCTTAATTCTCCACTAATTCACGATTTAAGTCATCAAGCATTTACTTTAACATTCACCAAAATTATTTATTAGTATGATACTACAGTTTTTAAAATTTCAGGTAACTTTCGTACAATTGCATTTTTTACCTAGAACCTTCATTAATCGTACTTTCGTCCCGAAAAGTAACTGTATTCGAATAATTAGATTTCTCATCCAATTATCCTCGTTCTAATTTGATTTCATAATTTTATGGGCTTAAGTGAGTGTATTTCACAAAATTATCCTAAATCTGGGCAATTTCCGCCAAATTAGGGATTTTAACCTTAAATTCAAGATTTTCACTTGATTAATCATCTAATTAGACATTAACTTTGAATTAATGTAATTTGGTTTTTTGGGGCATTATATGAGGAAACCAACAAACCGCTAAAGCCGGTGGAACCGAAAAAAGTGTTTGTTGAACTGGTGTTGTTCTCAGAATGTCAAGGTGAGATAAGGTTGTTCGATGAGACCAATAAGTTTTTCCGACAAGACATTTAGGCGTGGGATGATCTTTGCAATTTTCCAATGACTCCCAACTTTAGGGTTTATTATGTGAAAATGTATAATTTTAGTGACCTAGAGTGACAACTGACGAGTTATGCAGAGTTCTATGACTTTTACTCCATAGTTTGGCTTGCTCTTTTGATTTTTCATTTTCTTCTTAGAATTTCACCACAAATATTTTATTGAAGTAGATTGTGTCCTCAAACCTTTTTTTTTTTTTTTGGATAACAAAGTGGAGCATTAAATAGTAGTCGGTAATAGCCCAGCAGTGGAAAAAAGATCTCCCATCCATAGCTAGTATGCTATTTTTTCTTGGACAACTCGCTATTGCTATAGTATCCTAAACCCTAAACCTAATGGAAGTGAATGAAATGACAAAAATTATTAATTTCTTATTCTTATGTTTATTTCAAATAATCAAATACACTGAACATCGGAATGATAAAATTAAATTTTTATAAATAATTCCGTTTCATAGCATCAATTTGAAAAAAAGAAAAAAGAAAATTAAATAAAACTATATGAAGTAAAATGAAGTCCAACAATTTTTATCCCATTACATCGTTTTTAAAAAAAAAATGACACTAATTCGGGTTGGCAATTGCTCATTAAAGGAATTAATAATATACATAGCTAGGTAAATATATGCTCTTTAATTTGCAGAGTAACAAAGGCCGAGTAATTATTATGTATGCCTACTAAACAGTTAACACTAAACCTGGCACTGAAAGAGCAAGGTGCTAGTGAATAAAACATGCTAATCGTAGTTAATTAGGAACAACCCAATCCCAAGGCGCTGGTTGTGGCATAAGCATTGGTCTAGTTGAACTTGATTTGCTTGATATTTTGTTCAGGTGCATGTAATGCTATTTGGATCAGCAAAGATAGAAATGATAAAACTGGGCAACGATGCACATTACTCATATACAAAGAATAGATACATAGTGCTAATACAAGAGATAAATATATAATGAATGGATTTAACTGTGTTATTAATATATTTTTTTGGGGTAACAGTGTTATGATTTTTCCAATATATATGTGTACATGCAAGATCCTGTTTAATTTAACGCCACGAGCAAACAAATTATTGAAAAAATGATTTTAGATAATATTAAATTATAAATAATTGAATGATTAAAATTTTGATATTTGATTTCCTTAAAACATTATATTCTACATTTAATAAAATAAAAAACAATGTTGTATGATTATAATTTTTTTAATATAACGTGAATTATACAACATTCTAATCCACCACAATAAATAATGTAAAGAATTATTAAAATGTAGTTTTATTAATTTACATCAATATAAAATATATATTACTATTTACACCATGGAACTGAACATTGCATGTGAATGTTTTTTTTTCTTTCTAAATACCAAAGATTAACATCTTCCTTTCTTCTCCCTTGAGTAATTTTTAATTTATTTTTGGTTTTCCAAGGTATCCTCCGGCCGACAGCCGAAGACTAATCTTTTCGAGGCGGGAGATCACATTAAGTGAGTAAATCTCTTCCAACAAAGCATTTTCCATACACACGGCCAAGAATTGAACCCCTGTCAGCATGCTTAAGGAACCCAGCTATCTATCAACTGTGTTGGTAGTAATAATAAAAAAAAATAACCTTAATACTTTTATCAGGATTTCTGCATAAAAAGAAAGAAAAAATGGGAAGAAAAGAGAATTTAAAAGGGAAAACTCAACATACATTGAATATAGACTAGTTTTTAAAAAAGTATGATCATAAATTAAAATAATGTGCTGGCGTGCAGCTTTGCCAAAAAAAGTGCATTTCTCAACGCTTAGGGAGCCAGAAAGGTGGGCATGAAGTTAGTGCTTGGTGGCTTCAGGACACTAAAACATTTTAATCATCCAATATGAATCTAGACGTAATTCCGTTTGAGAACATCAAGCACCATACTTAATTTTATCAGATTTTCAAATCTGCAATGAGTTAATAAAGCAGCAATATTGAAATGTTTTGTACATTCTAATATTAAAAGTTAGTGCTTAGTGGCTTCAAGACACTAAACATGTTAATGTTCATCGTCTGATATGAATCTAGACGTAATTCCGTTTGAGAACATCAACCACTATACTTTTATTAGATTCCCAAATCCGCAATGAGTTAAGCAGCAATTTCGAAAGAAAAAAAATTGTACAAAAATTATTTTTAATTTTTTTATAACTAACTATGCTTAAAAAAAATAACTTAAATACAAATATATAACTGATAAAACATACCAAATTTTTTATTTCTTGTTTTTTTTATAAATTATTACACAAAAATCACATTCTTACCTATATTTTACACATGCCACATCAAACTGCTATTTTAATAAGCACTTACATGGATAGAAACACACAGCATCTCCAACAAGAATTACAAGATGACTTATAATTCTACTGTCCCATTTCGTACATAACGTACTATGGGACTGGAAATCCAAGATACAAGCACACATAATAAAGTACTGTTATGATTTTCCAACAAGGCAAATGGCTATTAGATATTGTTCTTATTGTTCTTAGCTAGTAATAGTCATCTAACTTAGCACTCGCTTTTGCAGCCAATAGCTTCTTCAACAGTCAGAAAGACTCTGCCACCGATTTTGGTGACAAAGTTGGACACCTTTAGCTTGTGAATCACTTGCCACCTTGGGTTTGCAATGGCTAACTGAGAGAGGAATTCAAAATGAAGTAGGTCAACAGATTCGTCATATATAGATATAATTATATGTAATAGAAATTATTTGAAGTTGGCTTTTATGATGATATGCATGAGCATGACTATACTTCTTGAAAATAATAAAAAGCTGTAATAGTGTGTTTATCATCCAATTCTTTAGTATTGAAAATATAAGAAAAGCTGTGTTTATCATCCAATTCTTTAGTATTGAAAATATAAGAAAAGCTGTGTTTATCATCCAATTCTTTAGTATTGAAAATATAAGAAAAGCTGTGTTTATAGCACTTATCATTTTCATTTTAAAGGTAAAACATGTATTATTAATATAGAAGCAACCTTTACTATAAATAAAACAAAATAGAGTTAAGTAATTACCTGTTTCCCCTTGGAAGACAAACTCTTGTGCAGTGCCTCTAGAGAAGCAATTCCGGAGGTGTCAATGTTCACCAAATCTATCATATAACAGAATATCATAAATCAATCACGGAAGCAAACAAGGGTGAGCTTGTGAAATTCTTGACTACACAACTATATTATCAACATTTTTATATTCTAACCAGTTTAAGGTCACATGTTAATTAAATATGATATATATTACACAACAAAGCACTTCCTTTTCTATAGTAAAACATAGCGTGGCTTTTGCTACTCACATATCCAAGAGATACCTAATCCATGCCATGTAGGTATCTAACAGCACTAAGAGCACCTACCCAATCTTAAGATACTCGATATCCTTATTAGTCTCTCTATATATTATATCTTATATACAAACTCTTCATATGAAATATTATTTTTCTTTTTTCTTTTTTTTCTGAAAACATTAATTTCCTCTTTTATTAACGAGAGTCAGAAAACCTTACTGGAGGTGTCAAGAATAACAAGTTGAATAGTGCTTTTTGAATTTCCCTTGTCATCTTCTGATTCTTCCTGAGTGACCCATTTGATAATCCTTGAAACAAAAAATTGAAGATTTAGCACGTTATGCATGTTTCATACTTTTGACATTAAATATTTCCCATGTTATCCTTGCCACTATGCATGGAAGTACTTATTGCATAGTAGCAAATACCTTTCTCTAACGAAATTGGCATTTGCAAAGCAAAGCAATGCAGACTTGACACGTATTATCATAACCCCAGGAATCTTCACTGCCATTGGATATTGATACACATCGCAGAACAAATCAGTTCCAGGAAGTTTTCCTAGAGTTTCTGTGCCAGGTCGAATAGAAATGAGAATGATCTTTGAAAAGGATATTACCACCTGCGAATTATGAGAATCCAAGTTTTAATGGACGCATCATTAATCATATATATATCTTGTGGCAAGTGTGGAGGATGTTTCTTCTAAAAAACATTGTCAAATTTGTGGATGAATAATTGCATAACCATATATGTAACCTTCAAAAGAGAAAAGGACAATTGTATCCCATTTATAACATAAAGTACAGTTTATTATGATTTGTCGAAAACTTTTTATATTTAATATCTCATTCAAGTGATTGCAACCCTTCGGAATATGATAATTCCAAATAGAGAATTTACTAGGTGGCTTAAAGACAAATGTGTCCCAAGCAGAACATTCATTTTGCATCACACTTAGTGCAAAATATGTTGGTCCGGTGAAGTGGTGGGGTATGCTTCTTTATATAATGGAAAAGTCAGGCCCATGCCATTACCGATCAATGTTATTCGAATTTCTTATTTTGGCTAAGGAAAAAACAAATACTCTTAAATAGTAGAACTTGGTTGCAAGCTAAAAGATATCCACTCGTAGTGTTCATTACGTTCACAAATAGAACTATCGAAATAGTGTTGCGTTTCATGATTGTTCAACAGTACTAACTCTTGAGTTATTGGGTGCTTTGACAAGTAGGAATTTAAAAGTCTCATTTATCTATAATATATCTATTATTTCTGGTGGAACGAACATTTGAAATATGCAAGTGAATGATGTGGCATAAAGATGCTAGTGCTGATGCTTCAAGTATATTGAAATTAATAATTGAGAGGCTTCCATACGTTGACTTTCTTAAAACAGTGATAAGTCTGAGCAGCATGTTCCAAATTGTTTCTCCTATGAGATAATAATTATTTTCTACATTCTCATGATGATGTTATTTTAGAGTTTGATGAAACAAAAATACAGAATATTTTGAGAAATTCTCTTGCAATATATATTTTTATAAAATGTCATGCATTTTTTTTTCAAACATTTTAAAAAAACAATTTACTTTTTTTTTTTAAATATTTCAATCGATTAATAGCTTCGCGATTAGTCTGATTATGAACATGATTACGAGAGTGAAGAAGTGTGAGAAGAGATGAAGAAGTGACAATGATTACCGCCACTAGAAGACCAATCTCGACAGATGCAAAGAGTACACCAAAGAAGGCTCCAGAGCAAGCAAGAAAGTCAAGCTTATCAACCTTCCAAATTTTGTAAGCTTCATTGATGTCAATGAGTCCTGGGAGAGCAGAGAGGATTACTGAAGCAAGAATAGCTGTTGGGGTATAATATAAGAGCTTTGTCAAAAACTGCAGTGATATTGAGACGGTGACGGCCATCACAATGTTTGACACTAAAGTTTCACAGCCAGCTGCATAATTGACCGCAGTACGCGAGAACGAACCTGCCACAATGCTTCAATTGTTATTACTTAAATCAAACAAAACCAACATCAAATTAGTTTGTTCATTTTGTGTCAAGCAATCATCTTAACCAAAAATTTTAAGTTGTTAAGGAACACGTTAATGATTTTTTATATTACTTTTCTAACACAATATTTCCTGACACACGAGCCCAACAAACCCTTACACTCATTTAATTTCATTAAAAAATAAGAAAATGGTAAGGATCGAACTTGTGACTTCGCGATCACAAATAAAATAATATCATATAAAATAATTAATTCAATCTAAAAATTTAAACTAATTAAGCAAGGCCCACATTTGTTGACCGTTGCCAAAGCACCTTCTTCATCGCCAGATAAAACCATCTGACCTGGCACTCAAAAAGTATTTTTAATTTATTTTTTCCAGTACGAAGAGGTGAAAAGAGGAGAATGTCGCGGATTTTATTCGATTCTTTAATGCTATTGGATTTTATTTTTTTTCCTTTTGGTATATTGCTCTTGTGCTTTCCAAAAGTGATTCTAAAACATGGGTGATAAAAGACTTCAAAGATACGAAAACAAAGGTAAAATTTAAAATGAGAAAATTATGTTTGATTTTAAAGGATGTAAAGTTGTATCATTCTAAGAGAGAGAAAGAGATAGATAAAGGAGGAAAGAGAGTTGACAAAAAATAATAAAGGTGTAAATCTCACATCTTTATGAGAGTAAAATGACAGAAGTTGTGTCATTTAAAAAGATAAATATTTTTCCTATTTAATATATGTTAATGACATCTTATCATTAACATTTCAATTGATAAAATCATGAGATATGTAGCAAAATGCGCGAGTTCAAATCCTGTAATACACTTTATTCTCTTGAATTTAAAAAAAAAATTTTATATATATTTGTGTTTGGATAAAATTAAGAAAAGACATGAGATAAAATATAGGGTTTAATGTGTGTCTTCTAAAAGATATAAGCTTATGACATTTCATTTTTTTTTCTCTCTATCAACAGACAAGTTTCACAAAAAAGAAGAAAAAATTAATATTATAACTATGTATTTTTCAAAATACATAGTTATAAAGGGGTGAAAAGACGTAAGCTTTTACACAAATAATTTTTCCTAAAATATATTAAAAGTACTTGCACCTTTTGTCCTTCAAACACGGAAAGATATATACTCGCGTATTGATTTGTTTCAGATTTCAAGTTTATTTATCATCATAATTCATAACTATTTAAAGCAGCATTTGAAAAAAAGTTAAACGTAAATAATCTCACAACTCCTTCAATTTTGTTATTTTCAGATTTTTAGTTTAGAACTAAGGTATACTTTAATAAAATAATTTTGTACCAGTTGCAACATAGCAGGAGGTTAAAGAGCCTATGATGTTTGTGAAGCCTATTGACACCATCTCCTTGTTTCCGTCAAGTTGGTACCCTTTGATGGATGCAAAAGACCGTCCAACAGCAACAGATTCCTATAATGGGTAAGGAACAATGTTTTATTAACATGAAAAGGGAAAATAATGTTATCAAAAAAAAAAAAAAAAAGGGGAAAATAAACAAATAAATAAAGGGTTTTATGTTTGTTATGTTAGATGACCCAACTTCACTTTTCTATACACACAACAAAAAGGAGAAAGAAAATGAAATGATGAAAAAGAGAAAAAATTATGTGGACTCCATCTCTTTGATGTATGTGTAGAAAAAAATAAATTTAAGTTATGTAACATAACATACATAAAACTGAAAAGAACGAGAACATGGTAACTAGAATTTCATTGTCAAAGACATTAATTAAGTGGAGGGTGACATATATAATTGGATACTCACAGTAAGGGCAACAACAGCAACGACTAGTCCAATTTTGGCGACTTCTCCAACATTGGGGTTATTGAAATCTAACTGATGAATGGAGCTTGGATTCAGTCCCCCTTTAACGTATTTAACAATTTTAACTCCATTTTTATCTGCTCGTGTCAGAAAAACAACTAGAGTTGACAGTATAACAGATACAAGAGGAGAGATTGATGCCAACCAGAATAGCTTCTTCTTCTTTTTACCCTGTGAATTAGCCCATCCATTTCATGGATTTCAATTCAAACCAGAAATTATAAAAGCAAAAAAATTGAACCCTGGTAATTCAGTGGTATCACTCACCAGAAATCTAGTTGTTAGGATGAAGACCAAGAACGAGCATCCGAGGATAAAATTACGAGGGTTCCACTGTAATTCAACATATGCTAGCATTAATATGATGAAACTATAGTTTTTATTATCTTTGTTACTTTTTTAATAAATGGATGCAGATGCGTATTTATAATTACTTATAAATTAGAAAGAGTATGATGAAAATTAACAGAAAATAATTTCTTAATTTTTCACATATATCTGAGTCTTGTCCTCTTCTAAAGAGAATAACTCATAAATTAACAATGTAAAAGGGTTATTTATACTTGTGATAATTATATTTACTATGATAATAATATAATCCAAAACTATCACTATTCTTAGTTCCCCACCAGCTCCCAAATTGTAGGGAAAGGAAAAAGTAAACGGTTATATAGGGAAAGTAGTATACGGGATTATGAACTGCTGCTTCCCAGACAGCTTTCATGACAGAGATTATGTCGGTTTTGGTGGTAAAATAAGTGATTCCTAAAAGTCCCTTCAACTGTTGAAGACCAATCACAACGGCTGCTCCTGCTACAAATCCAACAATTGCAGCATGGGATAAGAAATCCACAAGGAACCCCAACCTGTTAATTTTGGCAAAGTCAAAAGACTCATAAATGAATAAATAAGCCCCTTTTGAAAATAACCATATTATGGGAAAAATTAAAAATAATGAAAGGAAAAAAAAAAGTTTAGTATATAGATATTTTTGACCTGAAGAGTCCAAACGCAGTTTGAAAGATACCAGCAAAGAGAGTGGTAAGCAAAATCAGCTTTGTATAACCCACAGGATCAACAGCAGGGTCTATTAATTTCTGGATCATTGAGGATAAAAGCAGCGAAACCACTGCCACAGGACCAATTGCTATCTCTCTCGAAGTTCCCATTACAGCATAGATAAGAGGTGGTACAACACTTGTATCTATTTTGTTTCATTACACAAATTCATTAACCAATTTCAAGTACTACTGAATTATATAACCCAAAAAAAATATATATATATATATATATAAAAATATAATAATAAAGAGAAAAAGTGGCTTACAAAGGCCATATTGAGGATCAAGGTGTGCTAGGGTGGCATACCCAATGCTCTGCATTGAAAGTTGAAACCAACACTCAAGAGTTAGGATTACATGGAAGAGAAAACAACCCATTTTCTTTATCATAAAGTGCTGTTATTCCAAGGTGTCAATTTGTAAAGAATAATTACCTGGGGAATACAGAGACTTGCAATAGTGAGGCCTGCAAGAAAATCTTTCCTGAATTTAGTAGCAGTATAGTTTCTGCCCCAGTTAAGAATAGGAAAAATCCCCTGCAAAACTGAAAGCACAAGTGTGGTGCAGGGTTGATTTCTGAGAGGGGAAAACTTTTCTCGACAATTGGAGATGGTTTTCCTCACAGAATCTGCAACCACACGCCATGGACTTGGGGGCTCAGGAGCGTTAAGCACCCACTGAGACCTTACATCATGATGTGTGTTCTTCTCATCAATGTCCACCTGCATATTGCAGGTTTCCACCGCTAAAGAAGCCATAGATATTGAAGTGTTTGGGAGAACTACTTTGTCCCGTGAAATCTGACTACACTCTCATCAAACTTACCTATACGAAGAGCTCGGTTATGAGGCTGAAGGTGAAGGACTTGACATTACAAAAGGACCTTATATAGAGCACAAAGGCTTGCTTATTACATTCTCATCAAGCTTACCTATGAAGAGAAAATATAATAAATTGCCTTAATAAACACAAATCTCTGTTACTTTTGTTTTTCCGATAATTTTTATGGCTTTAATATGTATACAGTTAACATACATAAGTTATCTATATTTATTGTCAAAACAATATCGTTTTGGGGCGAAAGATTAAAAAATTATAATGAAAAAGATCATTATAACTCTGAAATAAATTATAATTACAAAAATATATTGATTTTTGTTCCAAAACAATGTCCGTTTGAGCTCAATGTAAATAACTTATTTACGTTGACGGCAGAAAAAATGAACCCAATTTTTATATGAACTTTATTACTCTCCTTTCACATAATATAGTTAACTTATGTTGTAAAGAGAAAATATGTGGATCTCATCATTACAAAAAAAAAAAGGTGGGTGTGAAAATCGAGATGAAAGAACATGAGAAAATTTATATTATGTAAAAGGAGAATAATATTTTTCTTTTTATATTAACTTAATCTCTCAATATTAAAAGTGACGTCACTTTTTATTGAAGAATTAAATTGTTGTTATTTTTTAAAAATATATATATTTAAGTTAAAGATTAAGTGCATCTTTTAAATTTGTTATTTTGAAGTTAAAAAAATTAACAGTTTCTTGAAAGAATTTAAAAATTAATTATTTTCTTAATTTAAGCAAAACAAAACATAGACTAATATGAGTGCTTTTTTTTCAAAGTATACGATAGATGAAGATTAATCCTTTCGAGGCCAGAGATTATATTAAGAGAGTAAATCTCTTCCAACGTAGTCTTTTTCAAACACACTATTAGAAATCAAACTTCTATTAATATATTTAAAGAATAAAACTATCTTCTAATTCTGCCGGGCTTGGTTAGACTAATACTAATGTTTAGTGTACAATCATATGATATGACACATATAAGAGGAACATTGACCAAAGTGTCATTTTTTGGAAAATTTTTTATCCAAATATCACGCGAATAGTACTTTTTACTAGACTGTCACGCGATGTAATTCGCTACGACTGGTAGCGAATTATGTTCTTCAATGATTTTGTGACAGGTTACATATTTTCGCAGAAAAAAGCTGACTGGACATAATTCGCTACCAGTCGTAGAGAATTACGTGACGTGACAGTCTGATAAAAAGTATTATTCATATGGTATTTGAATAAAAAATTTATAAAACAGTGACACTTTGGTCATTATTCCCATATAAGAACTTACATGATTCACCCATGAAAGTCTTTTGGTAAGAATCAAACTCACAACTCTCACTTTTTTAATGTTATTAAATTCTACTATTTTATTAAGTTTGATTACCATAATAACCCCATATTAACTTTTAGCTATACAGAATTACTTAGTAAATAGAGTATAGGAGATTGATTCTAGGTTCGAATATGTAATTGTCACGTGCTAAGGTAACAGATTTTCATAATAAAAAATAATAAAATTTCAAGTGAAATATAATAAAAAGTATTATCAAAATAAATTTGCAAATTATTTATGGATTCGCTTTTTCTGCAGTTACTGCAAATAGCAGTAAGTCTAATACGACGTGTTTTGGGGCGGAAATCATGGTATTTTCGTAATTTTAATTTATTTCAAGATTATAATAGTATTTATATTTATAATTTTTTAAGATTTCAATATCAAAACGACGTCGTTTTAAGAATAAATGCAGATAATTATCTGCATTAACTGCAGAAATATTTTTCCCATTATTTATATTTATTGTGAGAAATGTCAACCAAAGGAATTCACTTATATTTGAAAAAGCTTCCAGATTAAAAAAATTAAAATAAACCACGTGGGTGGGCGTGATGGTTCAGCATCTCGTCCCTTAAACAAGTGGTTGGGGGTTCGAACCCCAACTCTTGTGAATAGAAAACATTCTGTGGCCAGCTCTTTACCGCTTTGTGCGTTGACCCGGGACGAGAGATTAGTCTCATAGCTATCGGCTGTGGGGATACCCGGATGTAATCCAAAAAAAATGAAAATAAATTTAAGAAAATGACTAAGTACGCATCTTTATTATACTGCAAGAAACTGTTGTATATTCTAAAAACTAGTCTGGATTTCGTATATTGTATGAATATTTTAAATTCAAACAAAATTTAAAACTATCTATTAAAAAAATATTTTAAATGGTAAGAGATGCAAGTAAAGTAGTTGAAGTCTGAGGAGAAAGAAAATTTTATGGTAAATTTTTTGGACAATAATTAATTTAAAAGTATATAAGCAACTG